ATGAATAATTTTTTTAGAGAATCAATTGCAATGAACCATACAAAATTCAGAACTGAAGTTTTATTCATGAGTGCGATATTCTGACATTCAAAATCCATAGGCCCTACATTTAAGGTTTTTTTCTCGGATTAAGCGAAGTGGAGTTTCCCTGCATCTGAATTGTGAACAATTAATGCTAATCTTATTTTCAAAAAAGTGCTTCACTAAACAATCTTTCTCTTTATATCTATATGATTGTATATTTTGCACATTTTTTTTTTATTTAAAAGTGAAGTCAATTTTTTTCGTCTACGTATTTACCGGTCTCAAACCATCGTTAGCAGAGATTCAGAATTGAAAATACATGTGACCACCTCCCCCGGGATATTCTTTTATCTGATAAACAAAATATACTCCCCGGCCTAAATTCCCTTACTTCGCATTTATAACCTACAATTTTTTTTTGTTTAGTTTCTTATTCACGCATGCCTTTTAGACCTACTGTTATAAAATCACCTACATTTTATCTTTAGGTTTTTGTGGTCCATGTATACTAATGTAAAATGGTTAAAAGATTCAAATAAATGATTGATTGAAGAAATATGCATAAAACTAAAAATTGAAATTAAATACTGAATAAAGATAGATCTTTGAGAATTGAAATAATAATTAAAATAAGTCTGTACAACGTACATGACGTACATGTATATATCTTTTTTTTTTATTATAGTCCCAAAGTGTTCTATTCTAAATATTTTTTCTATCAATTTTATTCGTCATCAAATTCAATATTACGGAACTATTCTAAATATTTTTTCTATCAATTTTATTCGTCATCAAATTCAATATTACGGAACTTTTTTTTTTCGTGCGACCATTAACTTTAAGAATGTTCCAAAGTAGCGAGTACATGTACAGTGTAGGTAGTTTGTTTATTGATAACACCGGAAGCCGCAGACGAAGAACAATAGGTAATTAGTGCCCATTGTTACGCTGACCACTACAATTTACATGGAATATACAAGTTGTACCCCGTTCTACCCCGGGGCTGAAGACATGTACACAATACAGCCAAATCACAGGTCGATCACCTATTTCTGATCAATTGATATCAATTTAAAGGTGTTTTCCTTTCAACTTTTTACCGATGAAAATTAAATCGATCAATTTGATCATATACTAATAGTAACATATTGAATTAAGTCTTATTTCAGTTCTTATTTCCCATTCCATAAAATCAAATAAAAAAAATTTAATGAGATTTCAAAACTGATTAAATAAAAAAATGATTTTGTATTTAAATTTTAAGGGACAAACTAAACACCTTTGCACTAGGGATTCTTAACCTCTAATTTTTAATCAGCTCGCCTCATTTGCCGGTTGCACATGCACACAGTGTGTACTTGTACCTGTGTACATGTGAAGGAGTTTAATTCTTGGACGATCTACAAACGTCTACATAACATTAAAATAAATGAATAAATAAATAAATTATTAATTTAAAACAGTGTCCATAGAATGAACATATTCAAACCTGTTTTCAGGGATAAAATTTCTAATTTTCGAGCAAATTTTAAAATATTTCGACAAAAATAGACCAGAAAACTGAACATTTAACAAGATAAATATAATTGTTTTCGAGAAAAAAAGGCCTTCAAAAACAAATTAAAATGTTGTCCCAGCTCGACCAGTTGACCTAGTGAATATGGAACAAATCCAACTTTTCTAACCTGCAGGAAACTTTTTTTATCCCGATTTTTTTTTCCATCCATTAAGAACTTTTTTCTTGTTATTGAAAAAAAAGATCACCGATCTCCCTACATAATTTTCTTGGAGTCGGGAAAGGCGGCGATGGATCTTTTTTAAGATAGCATAATTTTCTTTTTATTTACAGTTTATTTTTCAATAAGATCTTAATATGCAAAAGTAAAATTCCATTTTTTCTGCAGATAATTTTTTTTTATCAATTCTATTTCTAAATATTCATTCTATTAATAATTCATTTGATTATTGTCAAAAATTTCACAAAGTTTTTAACGTAATGTAGAAATTGAGATCAGCCTACATACATACAGTCATGTAATTTTGTCACAAGCTGAACATTTAAAGAAATATGAAAATTTTGTCATGATAATTCAAGTAAAAGAAAGTAATAATTGAAGATTTTTATAGCCCTCTGTTTTATTTTAAACCAATTACCAGGTTAAAACAATGACCACAGTAATTATCAGTAAATCTCAGCATCGACAGTACCTCAACAGTAATTATCAGCAATTCTCAGCAGCGACAGTACCTCAACAGTATTTATCAGTATTTATCAGACTCAACAGCAAAAGGCAACAGTAATTATCAGTATTTATCAGAAACAACAAAAAATATCAGCAACAACAGTAATAATAACAGTAAATATCAGTATTTATCAGCAACAACAGCACAGTATCAGTAATTATCAAACTTTATCAGTAAAATTTGGGATTCTCAGCACTTTTTTCGTCCAGTAGTGAATACGTTTTGGGATTCATTTGAATCAACAATTCACCGCAACCAAACTTTAACACCAATTCAAAAGTTTTCGTATCTCAAGGCTCAATTACGCGACGCAGCAGCACAAACCATTGTAGGATTTACTCTCACAAACGCAAATTACGAAACCGCCATAGACCTGCTCAAGGAACGATTTGGTCAACCACAAAAAATTATCAATGCTCACGTGAGAGCACTTATGGAACTGCATGCCCCGAGAAACGACGCCATCAGTTTAAGAAATTATGGAGACTGCTTGGAATCTCATGTCAGGAGTTTAAAGTGTCTAGGACAAAAACAAGAGATGTACGGAGCTTTACTTATTCCAGTCATAATGAACAAGCTACCAGCTGAAATCAGAAAAAACATTGCACGTGAGTACGATGGTGACAACATTTCACTACACAATCTTCGTAAAGCTATCAGCAAGGAAGTCAAAATCCTTGAATCAGGCAAGATTGAAAACAGCGATGGATTCCACGCAACAGCAATGTTTCTTACCGGAGCCTCAAAGAAACAACGCCATGTTCATAATGGACACAACCAGAAAACAAGAGAGTCAACTCCTTATGTCGAAACAACAGAGATAAAGAGCCGCCAATGCATTTATTGTTGCACAGAGAATCACTTTCCAGGGGATTGTAAGAAAGTTACAGAAGTAAGTGCAAGATTCGACATCTTAAAAGGGAAGAAATTATGTTTCAACTGCTTAGGAAACCACCGCGCCGCAAATTGTAAATCCCGCAACAGATGTAAAAAGTGTCAGAAGAAACATCACACAAGTATATGCGACATGAAACTAACGAGTGACGGAGACGAGCCAGAGCCCACCAGATCAACAAGTGTTAACATTGTAGGAACGAGCAACCCAAAATCCACAGAATCGAACGTTGAAAAACGACATAAAAGCGTTTTATGGAAATCAACTTCCACTCCGATGAGTAAGACTGTGGACTCAATTCAAGAACGTAGCAAGTTGACTAACGAGATACAGCAACTTAAGTCGGAGTTGAAGACTAAGACAGAAAGGCTCAACACTTTGGAACGAGAAAATGGTACCATGCTAGAGAGATTGTTAGAATTCGACCAACAAAGAAATTTTCAGACTCGTATGGAGAATGGGATGAAGGATACGATGGAACAGATAAATAAACTAGCATGCGAAAACGGACGTCTGCATAACGAGGTTCAGGAATTACAGAATCAAGTTGTAAATATCAAAACCTACAGCACTCACTCGGAGCATCCTAACGCTAAAAACAGCAGTCTTCAGTCACGATATGATTACACTCAAAGGCAAATAAGGGAGCTAAATATCAGAGTACAGACACTTGAAAATCAGCTTCAAACCTCACAGGACCCTGTGGAAAGTAGGGAGAAAGATAACATGTTCGCCACAAGGATCCGTGATGACGCACTAAGGGAAGAACCTCAGATGACAGAAAAACGTACAGAGGCTGAGGAGAAGGAAAAAGAAAAATCACAGGAAAAGAATCTCAGGGACATGGCAGAGATAATAAACAAAATGCCAATCTACGGACTCGAAACATGGAGTTGGAGAAAGCTTACACAGTCAGAACTACGTCACAAACACCCCGGAACTAAGACTCTAATACAAAACCTGACAGATACAGTGTCTGAACAGAAAAGGATCGAGTGACAAAAACAAAAGCCAAAGAAAGAATCCGTGAATGGACCTCTTAATTAAGTGATTATGAACTTGTTTTTATTTTAAATTTCAATGAACTGTTCATTTGATTTGAACTTTTTAATATTCTAGTATAATTCATTTCAGTGCCCGGAGTGTCACGGATTATCCGCGGGTTTATGTAACGTACGTTAACGTTATTGTTACGTCACAATACTGTACGTTATGTTTCTATAGTTAATAACAGAGTCTAAAATAAACCACTATACGATCAAGACGTATTTCTATTCTTTCCACAACATAGATAATGATATCGAAAATGGCGCATGCCTTTTTACGAGTCGTGTTCAGCTTTGAATTTTAATGCCAGACACATGGTGATGAACAGTTTCTTCATATTTTTAAGTCCGGTTTGACGCGGTGCATATAGAAATGAGAATCGAACCCAGGTCCCCGATTTCAAAGCAAACACAATTTCACTAAGAGACTGAGCTACCGTGAATGGAATAATAAATTTAAGATCCGGGGCGTTTTCATTCTAGTTTCATTCTAGGTTTTATTTGCGTCGGATTCATTGATTGATTGTTGTTGTTATTTTACGTCCCGTTTGATAATGTAGAGACATCACCATATACCAGTGAAAGGCATTATATTTCGACCTTTACTCGACCCTCAGGGCCACTGGTCAGTGATCGATGAGGACTGTTGTGAAACAAGGTCTCAGTTTTATAGCCTCATCCACAGGACCGGCAATTTTAATCATAAAGTGCTCATGCTTGGCGAAAGTCGCTATCTATTTTCATCGACTTAGTCAGTCCCCGCCTTGATTCGAACACATATGGCCTCCCGATCATGTAGCGAGCGCTATACCGACTACACTTCCGTGACGGCGCGAAATATTAAGGGTGATTTCGTTGCATTTGAAGGATTTAACTTCAATAAAAAGGTGGTAACCTGCATTTTCGTTATATCCTGCAATCGTCAGTTGGTATTTGTCTTTCTCATTCCCGACTGAAAAGCTTGAATATCGAGCGTACACGAATGAGCCAGAGAATTGTCCCAAGTCTATCCACAATTCTTGTTCTCTTCTATCGGTAAGATCATGGAGTGCGTCATTCCCTGTAAAATGTGAACACCATTTATATATGATTGATTAAAGTAATTTCTAACGAAGATCCATTATTTTCTTTCAGGATATAGGATCAATACCCAAATAACAAGAGATGTTTGTAAAACACTTACGACCCCCTCCCACATACAAATGGAATTTTTCAAAGTCCAAGGGACATAACTCAGTCAAAAATGGCTCGATCATATCCAAAACAGAACTTGATCTAGATATTCAAATGAATATGAAATGATATTCTGTATACCAAAATTTCATTTCAATATGTGCAACCTCTGTGAAAAAAAAAAAAAAAATAACGGAAATTGCAAATAATTGGAAGTTTTCTAAGTCCAAGGGGCATACATCTGACAAAAAAGTCTCGATCGTATCCAAAAGTAAACTTGCCCTAGATATTCTTATGATAAATCTGTATACCAAGTTTCATTTCAATATGTGCAACCTCTGCAAATAAAATGAACGGAAACTGATAGTGGACCGACAGACCGACCGATGGACAACAGCAAAGCAATATGCCCTCCATTCTTCGAAAGGGGGCATTAAAATTACATATATTTAACTTTAAAAAGTAAATACTTTGTTCACTGTGATACTTTACTTCGGAACATTACTTGAATTATCGATGCTTAATTCTTAATAACAACGAGGAAAAATTTATAATAAAATGTGAGTATACAAGTAATACTTTCATTTTGTTCATGTCTAAATTGGAGAACATAGAAAATTACAATCTGAAATCCATAGTAAAAATACTTCATTACATGTAATTGTAGGAAAAATATTATACTGAATAGTTTTATATCACTATTACTATTACATTAAAAAGTTTAAAACTGTAGCAAAGCAAAGTTTATTATAGTTATTTATAGTAAACCATAGTTAACTATCGTCAGGGTAGCCTTGCGTGCAATGCAGTATATATGATAACCTACATTTCAGAAAAAAATGACAGAAAAAATATTGTAGTTACTGGTGTAAGAACCAACCAGAATCTTGTCTCACAGTAAAAAAACTAAATCAGTGTTCTAAATCTCTATAATAATATCATCTGATTAACATGGTCATTTGATTCTTTGAAATGAACCACAAAATCTCCTTAGATATGCTGCGTTACTATCATCACATTGTCAAACTTGAGTATTATTTTAATGAAATATCCCTTTACCTAACCAGTATTCTTTGTTAGGATCCCCAAAACCTTCTTTGAAGTCTTTCCATTCTCTGTTAAAATCTGTCGATCCATCCAATCTCCTCTGTATCACCTGAAATGAAACATATGGAGATAACGAACCAGTGGCGTAGCATCGTTTTTGAAAGTGGGAGGGGGGGGGGGCAGCCAGAGAAAAATTTTTTTTTTTATTTAAAGTTGACAAGCAAAAAAAAAAAAATAGATCGAAAATCCTATTTCATGGGCGGGGGGGGGGGGGGGGGGGGGGGGGGGGGGGAGGTAAACTTTTTCTATGTGTTAACTACTTTCAGTACCTATTCTAATACTACATTTTCGTCGGTACATCACTAAAAGTGGGGGGGGGGGGCAACCAGGTTTTCATTTCACATTTCCTATAGTATAAGCATAGATGGTAAAAAAAGTGGGGGGGGGGGCAGACCCCATTGCCCCCCCCCCCCCCTGTTTATACGCCCCTCCGAACAGTATTCAAGATCTAAAGCTGAAACATTTGCGAAGAAAATGAAGTTGATGATCATAATATTTTTCTGCTTTTCTGATACGGAACACATAGCTGAATTTGATCTCCTCCAAACTTGACGTATGGTGTTTATGGACACTTCAGCTTGATCATTGTTCGTTATCTTCACTATTCATCTGGATCTATAGCATAATTCTTATATTGAACCACATACTACTAGTATGCATTTGAACCTCCGTATCTCGAACACTAATTTTTCAAAAACTATGAATACATATCGGGGGATTAGAAGTCCCAACCCCTTATTCTACTCTGAATATATCGACTCCTCGGAAATTTCGAAGTTTTACCCCCTTCCCATTGAGTTTGATAAAACCAGGTTTGACTGTATATATTAATTGATGAAAAATACCGTCCACTCCCCTCCATTGGTCGTCATGTCACAGAAGACCCTCCATCCAAGATAAATCGTATACACTCCGTTCTGGTTCCCGAGGTCTTCGTTCTGTCTCAGCATCTCTTGACAATCTCTGTATCTTTTACCTAAATAAATGAGAAGAATCCGTCTTTGTCTCCAAAATATGTTAAGAACAGTTATATCAAGGACTCATTCAAACATGTTTTATAAGAATACTGCTAGAAAAATTCACAATATATTTTTTTTATTATTTAATTTTCATGTTGAAAAACCATTTACCAGAACACTTGAAGACTTCGTGTTCAAACTTAATTACTTTTTAAAATCATAATTTGATAAATATGTAAATACGAAGTAAATTGTTAATTGGAAATGTGCAGGGATTCATTATTCAAAGACGATATGTACATTTTGTGGTAAAAGATAAGTTTTCATGCAGATACAAAGCAGTTAAATGTAAGAACATAGAAAATTATAAACGTTTTCAGACATAAAGTTTCTATTTTTTCAAATGTTAATTCTAAAATAACGAAGGAACATGACAAAACTCTTTTTCAATTACCGTTAAGTGTATGTAAATATTCTTTTAAAAATCACTCATATAAAAAGTCAACCTTATACCGGTGAAGGACCTCTAAGTCTGGTATAGACTCGGCCACTAAAGGATATTACACACTAAGGGTTCTTTATCGTGTCAACGACCACGGTAACACTAAAATCTTAAAGTTAAAGGTTTCAAAAGATCTTTTACATATGCATTTAATGTCGATCGCTCAGAAAAAACAGTTTCTACCCGTGTTTCCGTTGCAGGATTTAACGTGGAGCGGATAACAAGTGTCCTCTACAAAAATTTGAATCTTTCAAACAATTTTTTTTTTGTTTTGTTTTTTTGTTTTTTGTCAAATACAAATTTTAATTGAAAAATTCAAATTTTTGAGGACACAAGTATACGTATCGACCACAAAAACCAATCACCCAACCACTAGGCTACGTAGCCGGTAAGCATTTAATAAAGCAAAGAGGTGCTGTTCACGTAAATGTTCTTATTCTGTAATGACTAAAATTCCTCCCCTTGTATAATCTTGTTATAACTATTTTTTTAACTTCATCGTTTTCATTTTCCAAATTGTTTATTGAAAACTAAATAACTAAAAGATTAAAGTATTTTTACTTAACTTGAACTATAATAAGTGGAAATTAGTTCCTTAAAAATCAGCATAAACTTAATTTAGTACATCTTTTTAACTATGATATATTAATAATAAAGAATTAAAAACCCAAACAGCTCTGTACTTGAAAAAGAAAGAAAACTGCTTTTCACTTAAGGCGCTAAATAAAATAGTTAAATACAACACATCTTTAGAGTGCAATTATGGTATAAATTTTGATTACTTACCGAGTAGGTCATTTCTCTCTCCGAAATCCTTTGCATAAGACTTCTGCACGGGATATATATTCGTACTGGTATTCTCAAGTCCATCGAATCCTTTTAAGAGTATTGCTGAGAGCTTTTTAAAGTCATTAGATAATTGTGAAAACTGCTCCCTTTGTGAGGAAATTTCGTTACTCAAATCCTCCAGTTTCTGACCATTGACGTTTTCTGTAAGCGTCCGCAAAAATGAAGAGTTAACAAGGTTTCTCTCTTCCGATACATGGCGATCTTCTGAAATGTCATTTTCCTGGTTTGTTGCAGTTTCTTGTTTTGATAAAAGGTATTGTTTTATATTCTCGACGACTTTGGTCAAGGCTATTCTGAATAAAGTCTCCTGGTTCAACAATTGTCTTAGAATATTGATATCCTTGGTTTTTGTCTCATTATTTTCAGTCAGCAGAGAATGAGCATTTGAAGGAACACAAGATGTCATAATAATAATCAAAAATTTATAATCCACAGTAATCATTGTGTTTTTTTTTTTGTTCTCTCTTACCTGAATGCAAGAAGGATATGCAAGAAAATCTAATTTGCTTTAACCACTGAGTATAATGATTCTTCACTATTTAAAGGATTTTCATTCGGCTGACTTTTAGCTAGCCTTCCATAACGTAAACATTAGTAGGGAGTCAGGTGTTTTTAATGTTACAGGAAAGTGGATAGATCAGTACTTAGAATTCTGTGAATCCAGGAAAGCTTCTTAGAAGATTAAAATGTGTTCCAATCCCTAATATTGTTATGGGTAGTCCACCTAGCTTTTTATATACATGTAAATTGTTTCTTTCACCAGCTATATCAGACGATGAAAGAAAACACTTAGTCATGACAATATTTAACCCGCGATTTCCAGTTTATATTAGCAATTTATTTTTTTTATTTCTGGAATTTTCAACAAAAATTAAAATCTATTCCGTTAAAGGTATTCATTACCTTATATTCTTAATTCGTATCGTTAATTTCTATGTCATTAAATAAAAGTTTGGATGTATCATATGTCTAAATTTGCTAACAGAGTCATATTACGAAATACTGACCTGAAACCATGTTGTTGGATTCCCTGTAACAATAACTTTTCTGTCAATATCCTGCCTTGGTTTGAAAATTTCCCGTACTCGGAGGATATTCTTGCGTATTGAATAAATTTAGAGATGTAAACACCATATACAGAAGATAACGGTGTATTATAATTACAATGTACAAAATTAAGGATAATTGCTAAATTTGGAGAAGTGTTTCGCACACGAATATCAAGTACGTTCACAGAAGATCTTTTCTATGAAATTAATGTTCTTTGAAAATAGCATCTATTGGGATTAAAGAAAATTATGAAAAAAGTTTCAATTTATTTTCTTTTGCCTCCTGGATCCGTTTTATTACTAATATCCTAGTTGAAAAACCATCATCATTCTAGTTTTTTCTATCTTAGATTTAATAGTGTTTTTATTTTGTATTTAAAAAAGAGTGGTACTCGCGAGTTACCAAGCCTTGTCTTTTATTTATTAATATAAGCTTTCTTTTGTGTTGCATTTTACTTATATGGCACAATTGAATTTAACAGATGAAATAATGAAATATACAGAGATAACGAACCGTAAATTCAAAGAGCATTAAACAATACAAATCGGAAGCAAAGTAAACACGGCCCTCTAAAATATCAGAGGTGAGATCATGAGTGTGCATCCTCAGTATACCGACGTGTGCTCCTTATCATGATCGGGAAATAACACAAATATCTGTTGATATTTCAGTTTGTAAAAAATCACCTCAAAATAAATATGAAAAAGATCAGTCAACATTTGACCTAACAGAATAAAATGTATAAAACATATAGGGAATTGAGCGTAATCTAAGAAATCATAGTCTAGTTTGTTGAGTATGCCACTGCATGAACAATATGTAATTGGAAATGAAGGATAATATACCCAGCACACTAGATCTCTGATGTACAACGAATTGCACTCTTTCTTCTGATTTTATTTTTATTTCTTCATCAATTTCTGGTAAATTCTTTGATACGTTTGAGAAAATCTGTGAGCTGTCTCTTTCAATTGCTATCTATTGTTGATAGGACATCCCAGTTATGATCATCATGGTCAGATCTAGCACATTTAGAACAAATTAATTTATACAGTCCTCACAAAAATTACTAAATACCAACTCATGTTTATCGCAGTTTGGAATGTGCTTATGTTTTAATTGAGAAATTAATTCAAATATTAAAACTGGTCTCATGTATGAGGATTTTAAATATTTTTTAAAAATATAATTAAGTTTGAAATCAGAGGTCTGAGTTTATTCTGATTTGTTTATGTGGACTAACAGCTTGATTGTTGTTCGCTATCTCCTTATCCCAACAAGACAATTGTATCTGTTCCGGTTGTTGCAAGGTCTTTTTCATTTTTTTATTCTTATGCTTTAAGATATTTCATTAAGTCTATTCTTTATTTCTTGATAAAAATAATATTTATTCACCAAATATCCGCCAAATTTGTTTTCGTGAAACCAAACCCAGTCTAACAGTACTAGTAAGAGATTAAAAAAAGACAAATAACATTCATGCTTTATTTTGTAAACATGCATAATGAACACCATTAAAGTGTACATATATTTATATACAATAAATGCATATTCTGATAGCATAGCTCAAACATTGTCTTTAGTAACTTAAATGAAAATTTGACAATTTAACAGATATCAAGTATTTATACGTACAATAATGTGATTCTTCACATTTCTTCATTTGAGTTTTCTTCCAAAAGTTTTCAAATAATCAAAAATATATCTGATTTCCAGTTTGCTCGTATATTTTATTTCGATCTTATCATCATTTTAACAGATTTCATGATTTCAAAATTTGTTCCCCAAGACAGACCTTTCCTGTTATTTTTGTTTGAGGTTTGATAGTCGCCGTTGAGAGTTGACCATGAACAGCTATTATACCACCATGCTCCAGTGCGATGCTTAACTGCACAGTTGGCGGAGTTCTTGTCATTATCACGATCCTTTGTTGTAAAAAACATTCCATTCAAATCATGAGCTTTTATCATCATGTCCCCTAAAACATTTGAATATATATATATATATATATATATATATATATATATATATATATATATATATATATATATATATATATATATATATATAGAATGTTATATCACTGTTTAATAAAGCAGTGTTTCTTTTTTTTATATTATTGTAAGTATAAGAGGGTTGTCCGTAAAGTTCGTGGAGAAGTTAAATTATAATAAAAATTGTGTCATTTATATTTATAATGAGCATAGTAATCATACAAAATGTAAATTAATATTCAATTAAAAACATAAAATTACAATTATGACCGGATTATAAGGCTTGGGATGGGGACCCGGAGCACGGCAAACATTAATTAAAAAGTTTTTTTTATCACTTTATAAATTTCATGTGTATACGAGGGCTGTTCAATAAATAATGTCCTCGGTGCTCAGAAAGAAGCAAAAGACGCTTTTCAATGATTTAGTCTTCATTATATTACTTATTAATCTCTTTTAATTAAAACACATGTCCGTAACATTTTGTATCCAATTTCTGATTGTTTTAGAACTCATTATTGGGTATGACCCTTAGTATACTGGAAATTGGTAGACCCAACGATTTCCTGGACTCGTTTCTTCCTTCTGAAATCATACATTACTAAATACTATTTGTTAAAATTTGGCGAACAGTACATAAGTTGTTAAAATTTTTGTTGGCAAGGACGGTACCCATTTTTGATGCCCACTATATAATTTATTATCATTGAAATCCACCCGCTCATTTGTCTACAAAACAGGCATTGGTTGCTGTAAATGACACATATTTCAGTGAATATTTCTTTGGGATTTCTAACAAGTTTTACAGCAGCTTTAATAAAGCTTTTATTTTCACTCTAGTTTACTGATTCTCTACCCTTCATTTATAATGCAATGTCTCGAAAAGCCCTTGTTTCTCAGCTTCTCACGATGAAACTATGTAATGAAAAGTGGTCACATGAACTGTTATAAATTCAGTAAGGATTCAGTTATGAGAGAAAGTTAAGTTTAATGTCATATGATATCTGTATTGTATGCCATACAGTTCAGGACATTATTTATTGAACAGCCCTCGTATTTTGTAAATTTCCAAGGAAATTTGGATGACTTGTACATTATTAGGTTGACAAAACATATAAAATAAAACCTAGAAATTTTGAACTTTCAAATACTCGAAATGACTGAGAAATTGCAATTAAAACCTATCAAGACAGGATATTCTTTGTTCGAAAAATTGACGTTTAAGGAAAAAGTGGAAGAGAAAGCAGTTGTGAAATTTTGTGTAGACATCGGGAAAACACGACAGAGATCTATAAATTCTTTAAACAGTCGGGTTAAAAAGGTAAAGTAAGCTGTTTGTCAGTGTTTTAATAGCACTCTGCCCCAGAGAAGATTTTTCGTTCGGAAGGGACAGTTTACAGAATGATATGCGTGAAGGGAGACCATCATTTCAAAATTGCATTGCTGTAAAAACTGCATTCCATTACATAATTTTGTCGTGTTTCCGTACTATAAGTCTTTTTTACGAAAACAGAGGTTTTAGATTTTGCAGGATCTGAGACAAGAAGTGTAAAATATTATTTTACGTATGAAACCTGAACAGTTTGGGTTCGCTTTTGACGACTGGTTGAATTGACAAACGAAATCTGTTGAGGTAAAACGATGATTCTGTTGAGAAAAGTTACATGTATTATGTTTATGGCGTCGGGTACCGTCAAGGATTTTCGTTTAAGTGCTCCAGGTATGAGTGCGTGTCTTTTTGTATCTGATAAAAATACAATTTTTGTACTTTCTCCAAGTCCAAAGGGCATAACTCTTTCAAAAATGTCGCAATCATATCCAAAACATAACTTGATCTATATATTAAGCTGAAAAATCTGTATACCAAATTACATTTCAGTATGTGCAACCTCTGCAAAGAAAATGAATGGAAACTGCAAATAAGTGGAATTTTTCTACGTCTAAGGGGCATAACTCTTACAAAAATGGCGCGATCGTACCCAAAACAGAACTTGATTTAGATATTCATCTGATAAATCTGTAAATCAAATTTCATTTCAGTATGTGCAACGGTTGTGAAGAAAATGAACGGAAACTAGATAGACCGACAGACAGCAGCAAAGCAATATGCCCGCCCTTCTTCGAAAGGGGGCATAAATAATAGTTTCATATATTTAATCAATGTTTAAGAAATAAAGTCCACATTTTAGCGCATGATTCAGGATAACCTCTGAGCCAGAGCTTTTATATTCAAACAACATTTTGAGACCGAGAAAGTTATTCTGAATCAGTCACGACAACAAAAGTGGCGCAGTAGTTAGAGCGTCTGCTCTAGAGTCACTGAGTAAGAAGTTAATCCTTAGGTCTCGGGTTCGATTCCCACTGTGGGACAAGAAGACTGGTTCTTTTGGTGAGACCATATAAACCGAAGTCCCGTGTCGTATAAGGTGCTAGCATGGAAAAGATTCTCATTGCTCAATGGCCCTGAGTGTTAAGTATAGAACAAAATTTGTGGCTCTCAACCGGCAAGTATTTGTGTCTCCATGAGTGGAAAATTCTCGAGAGGGACTTTAAGCAATGCAACACTTGGAGATAACGAAGAGTATTCAAGATAAAAAGTCCTAAAATGATATAAGATAGGAGCAAAGAAAACTAGAACCTCCGAAACGTCAGAGGTAGGATCACATGCCATGGAGGAGTGAGCATCCCTTGATGATCGGTCACATACGCCGTGTGCTCCTCGTTGTTATCGGGAAATAACGGAAAAATTCGTCGTCAATTCAATGTATAAATAATGGACTAACAATAAGTAAGTAAAACTTCAGTCAGCATTTAACTCAATGACGAATTGTATTTGCTGAAAAGGTCATTGTATTGACCATAGAACATATAAAATTATTATCTAAAACGAGACTGCTGATATTCTTATTTCATCAACTTCTTTGTCAATAAACATCGTTTTAGGAATGGAATCGTTCATACGTATATCATGCTCTTGTGTATCGAATCAAATGAGATATATATATACTCCGTATGCAGGTGATGAAGGTATATTGCTGAATATGTAAGGGAAGTTGACGATTGAGAATAATATGGCCTCACATTTATCATAGAGCTTGGCTGTTACATTACCATTAACGTCTTTTTTAAAATAAACAATGGTTATTTTTATTCTTATGTAGATACGATATATCCCGGTGAGCTTGTGATGAAGATACCACAGGATATTTTACTTGAAAAGACGTTAATGGTAATCTTGCAGTTTCTAAAAGTTTCTTGTGTTCAACAGAGTTCATAAAATTATTCACAGAAAATGCCTCCTCAAAATAAAAAATTAGAAAAAATTTTTATATAAATATAGCCCTTTCATGAGGTCGATATATCGACTTCACAGAAAAGCATATGTCAACCGAGCACGAAGTGAGAGGTCAATTTGCTTTTCTGTGAAGTCGATTTATTCATGGATTGACCAAATTAAAGGTCTACATTTGTAAAATTATATTTTCTGAGATTGACAAAACAAAATTTGAAGATAAGGGGTGCAAGCCTTTCTTTTTTGTCTTTTTAACACTTAAAGAATATAGATCAAAATAAAATTGTGCCGTTTAATGTAATTGTTTTTCCCTTATATCAATTGAGTGATTAAGGGAATTTAATAATTTAAATGTAAAGTCTACATTTTTTAGCTTATCTGAGCCAAAGGCTCAAGTGAGTTTTTCTGATCACATTTTGTCCGGCGTTCGTCTGTCTGTCCGTTCGTCTGTCTGTCCGTCTGTCTGTAAACTTTTCACTTTTTCGACTTCTTCTCAAGAACCGCTGGGCCAATTTCAACCAAACTTGCCACAAATCATCCTTTGGTTAATGGGATTCAAGTTTGTTCAAAGGGCCACGCTCTAATTCAAGGGGAGATAATTGGGAATTAATGAAAATTTGGTGGCATTTTAAAAATAAATCTTCTTCTCAAGAACCACTGTGCCAGGAAAGATGAAACTTATAGGGAAACATCCTTAGGTAGTGTAGATTCAACTTAGTTCAAATCATGGCCCCCGGGAGTAGGGTGGGGCCAAAATGGCTTATCAAAGTTTTACATAGGAATATTATTAGGAAAATTTTTAAAAATCTTCTTCTCAAGAACCATTGGGCCAGGAAAGTTAAAACTCATGTGGAATCATCCTCAGGTAGTGTAGAATCAAGTTTGTAAAATTATGACCCCCGGGGTAGGGTTGGGCCAATATGACCGATTAAGTTTTACCTAGGAATATATAGAAATAATCTTTTAAAATCTTTTTCTCAAGAACCACTGGGCCAGGAAAGATAAATCTCATGTGGAATCATCCTCAGGTAGTGTAGATTCAAGTTTGTTCAAATCATGACCCCGCAAAATGAAACTTATGGAGACATCGAACAGTTTTCAAGATCAAAAGTCTATAAATCAGAACACAATTTGAATAGGAGCAGAGCAAACACGGACCTCTGAAACATCGGAAGTGGGATTAGGTGCAATGAAGGTGTGAGCATTCCACTGTGGACTGGTCACACCCGCCGTGTGCTCCTTATCATGATCGGGAAATAACAAAAAAATCTGCATTCAATTCTTGTAATAATAATGGACTTACAATTAGAAAGAAAAACGTCAGTCAGCAAATTGTATTTGCTGACAAGCTTAAGGTCATATGATATGATGCCTTCAAGAACACATATAAGTATGCAATATTTTACCTGCATTTCCAATGTATCCTGCAATAGACAGTTGAAATTTGTCTTTCTCACTTCCAACGGAGAAGTTTGAATATCTAGCATACACAAATGAACCAGAGAATGATTCTAGGTCTATCCATAATTCGTCTTGTTTTCTATCGGTCAGATAATGTATTGCGTCATTCCCTTTAAAAATATAAAATCCCCCATTTTAAATGCAAAATGCCTCGATAATGCATACTAAATGCGAACATATGATAAAAAAAATAGTTTTTTAAAAAATCCTTGACATATTGATTTTCTTTTATCAAATAACATTGTCAGCACTGAACATTAAAATTATATTCATCTTACCTAACCAGTATTCTTTGTCAGGATCTCCGAAACCTTCTTTGTAGTCTTTCCATCCTCTGTTAAAATCTGTCGATCCATCAAATCTCCTCTGTATCACCTGTCATACATGTATCTCTTTATTTCCAAATTGTTTTCAAATTAAGCTTACAAAAATGGACGCATATTTATAGTAAAAAAGAAATGCAGGGTACACGCAGGGTACACTTTTGAAGTAACTTAATGTTATTTTTTCAGGATCATGCTAAATAGTTAGGTTTCAACGTGTGAGTAAAAATATAACTGATGTTAAGTTGCAGAGCTGATGGAGTAAAATAAAAAGAAAGCATTTCTATCAATTTCAGAGTGAGTGAGTGAGTGAGTGAATGTAATACTCATTATTGCTAACTGTATTGAGTGTAAATGTAATACCGTTGAGATAATCGAATGGCAGATGGCAAGATGGAGAGCTTGTAATAGAATATTATCTCGGCATGCTCTACGTACGTACAGTATCTAAAACGAGGTAAAATATTGACAATAATATTTGCAGTCTCGTTAAAAATCATCACTTCGTAAGTTCTTTGGTAAAGGCAATGACCTTGTCCCCCAAATTTTTTTTATATTGAGTCAAATGCTGACTGACATTTTTCATACACATAGTAATTCTATAATTTACACATTAAATTGACGACGGATTTTCCGTTATTTTCTGATCATGACAAGGAGCATGCTGTGTATGTGATTGATCAGCAAGGGGTGCTCACTTCTCCATCCTACCTGATCCCACCTCTGATGTTTCAGAGGCCCCAGTTCGCTTTGGCCTCATTTTGTATTGTTCAATGAACTTTTAATCTTGAATACTGTTCGTTATCTCGATATATTTCCTTACACATACTATAGACTATATTTGTTTTTAGAGAATATTTTTTATTTATAGAAGTACTGTACCGTCCATCCGCCTCCATTGGTTGTCATGTCACAGTAGACCCTCCGTGGTGTGTTACACCCAAGATAAATCGTATATACACCATTCTGGTTCATCAGGCTCCTGTTCTGCTTCAAAATTTCTTGACAGTCCTTGTACCTTTTATCTAAATAAAAGGCAAAATTATTGGGCTTTTCGTGTTTGTTGAGAGTATTTATTTTTAATAATTCCAGCTTTAAATAGGGTAAATTTGACTTTAAAGTTGACTATTCCAACTTTATGTTGATAATAACAGCTTCAAAGTATAGTTTTTGTTATCCACCCTCGGAAATTTTCATGCAATTTTTGCCTCCAATTTTGATTTCCAGCAAAAAATCTATTGACTGATAATGTCATAATAACTTCAGTAGCTTTGTGACAAATCAGAAATCACACAGAAATGATTTCTGTCATCAGGATTTCAGATTATTTTTGCAGTATTATATCACTCCAAAAAAAATTCAAACCTCAAAAATTATATTATACATCAGTACAATAAAACGCTTATCTCTCGGAGAATAGTTCCCTGTCGCGGGTTTGATAAAAGAGCTATCCCATTCATAAACAGTGGATAAGTGTATTATGTGTCTTTGAATAAGCTTGTATTAAAAACTTTGCAAGTTTTATTGGACAAACTGACATCAATTATTTAGATTCTTCATAGTGGTCCAAAAATCGAAAATTGTGAAAGTTCTGCAAATTTGTGATGTCTGATTTGTTCATAAAAAGGACAATTAACAAAAAATAATCTCGGTTTCGGGTAATTGTTGGTCTTTCTCCCGGCTTTTTGCCGGTGTATCTTCCGGTTTCCTCGCGAGGTGGAGGGATTCCACACCTGAATTGAGCCACATAATTCTCCATTTCGGATGATTTTTAAAGGTTTTGTATGTTCTTAATGTAAGGAACTGATTGTATTTTTTTTCAGTCTATCTTGAAGGATAGAGAAACGTTAAACGAAATTCGAAAAATTTGACATCTATTAGATAAAAATATGTTTTCTAAAAAAGGGGGAAAGTGCTTCAGTAAGAAATTTTTATATCTTCATTTAACATTTTATATTAAAAACATCTCAAATTCATTTTTGAACAATGTGATTATATATTCCATGTTCTAATGAATTCATGAAATGATTATAAAATTAATTTGACTTAATGTTTCTTCAAACATCAGATTCTTTGTTTGTGCTTCATATATAGATTATTTTATGAACAACATCATAAAAGCCAAATAAGAAAAAATAAGGTGATTACAATGATGTCCGGATAGAGCAGTTTGCGATATTAGCCCTATCCGGGCACTATACTTGTAGATATTAACTGTTCCGTCAAATCTCCCTACGTATCTTTTCAGGTAGCATCCACATGTGATACATTTTAAAATAAAGGGACTTTTATGTTTAGGTCGATGAAGGTATTTTTAATTATATTTTTCCACCGATTTCACTAATTTTAAGCAAATATAAGAAATTTATGTAAATACTTATTTTGGTGATTACAATGTATATTAAAAATTTCGTAAAAAATATAAAGATATTAAGCCGTGTGCTGAATTTAGTAGGTTGATTGATTGTTTGGTGTTTAACGCCCCTCTCCTGAATTCTCCACTAATATGAAGACGCCACCGTTTGCCGATGGAGAGCTTCATTTTTTTCCCCTATACTCGGCACTCAGGGCCATTGATCAGGGAGGGATCTTTTTCGTTCCAGTTCTTTCTGCGACACGGGACCTCGGTTTATACGGTCTTATTCGAAGGACCGGTTTCCACGTCCCACAGTCGGATTCGAACCCGCGACGTAGGGATCAACTCCTTACTTAACGACTCTAAAACATACGCTCTAACCACTTCGCTACGCTGAAATTAGTAGAAGGTTCTTAATTTGAAATATGATCACAAATAATTTTATGTTTGGTTGCTTACCTTGAACGTCGATATCCAACGCAGCAATATTTTGCATCGGGTTTCTTGTCACGTTCATATTTTCAAGTCTCTCAAAGCCTCTTAAGAGCATTGATGAAAGCTTGGTAAAATTTTCAGATAATTTTGAAAATTGTTCTCTATGTAAAGACATTTCCTTTCTCATTTCCTCTATTTTGTGATTGTTGACGCTCTCTGCAATAGTCTGCAAAAATGATGAGTTAATAAAGTTTCTCTCTTCCGATACTTGGCGATCTTCTGAAATGTCATTTTCCTGGTTTGTTGCAGCTTCTTGTTTTGATAGAAGGTATTGTTTTATGTTCTCAACGTCTTTGGTCAAAGCTATTCTGAATAAAGTCTCCTGGTTCAACAATTGTCTGAGAATATCGATATCCTTGGTTTTTGTCTCATTATTTTCAGTCAGCAGAGAGTGAGCATTTGAAGGAACACAAGATGCCATAAAAATAATGAAAAATTTATAATCCACGGTAATCATTGTGGTATTTTTTATTTGTTTTGTTTTCTCTTATCTGGATGCAAGAAATTTTCTTCTGCTTTAACCGCTGAGTAAAATGATTCTTCACTATTTAAAGGATTTTCATTCGGCTAACTTTTAGCTAGCCTACTGTAACGTCCTCAACATTAGTATGGTGTCAAGTGTTTTTAACGTCACTGGAAAGTGAATGGATCACTTCTTAGAATTCTTTGAGGCCAGGAGTGCTTCTTAGAAGATTAAAATATGTTCGAATCCCTTACATTGTTATATGCTTAGTGCACCTAGCTTTTTAAATAATTTTTTCTTACACTAGCTATATCAGACGATGAAAGAGTTAGTCGCGACAGCATTTAACCCACGATTTGCAACTTATATTAGCACTTTATTTCTTATTTCTGGAACTCTAAAAACTAAAAAAAATCATTTTTTTTCCAATACAGGTATTTATTACCATATAATCTTAATTATTTTTGTTAATTTCTATTTTATTAAATAAAAATTTGGTTGTATCATATTCATGCGTGGATCTAGAGGGGGGGGGGGGTCGTGGGGGTCAGGAACCCCCCCCCCCCCCTGGAATTTCCACGGTTAAAAAATGTATATATTAAAGCATGAGAAAATGTCAAGAAATTTCTGGGATTGGATTTTTTTTTGAACTGGGCGGACCCCCCCCCCCCCCCCCCCCTGGAAAAAATTTCTGGATCCGCGCCTGTCATATTGCTAAATTTGCTAACAGAGCCATTTTACGAAATGCTGACCTGAATCGATGTAATTGGTTTCCCTGTAACATTGATTTATCTGTCAATATCCTGCCTCGGTTTAAAAACTAACCGTACTCGGAGGATGCTCTTGTTTATTAAATAAATTTGGAAATATAAGCACCATATACAAAAGATAATGGAGTGTTATAAATACAATATACAAAATTAAGGATGATTGCTAAACTTGTAGAAGTTTTTCGCACACGAATATCAAGTACGTTCACAGAAGATCTTTTCTATGAAATTAATGTTCTTTGAAAATAGCATCTATTGGGATTTAAGAAAATTATTTAAAAAGGTTCAATTTATTTTCTTTTGCTTCCTGGATCCGTTTTATTACTTCTATCCTAGTTGAAAAGCCATCATCATTCTAGTTTTTACTATCTTAATTTTAACAGTGTTTAATTATGGATTTAAAAAGGAGTCGTACTCAGGTGTTTCCAAGTTTTTGTCTTTAATTTATTAATATATGTATTTTTTGTGTTGCATTTTACTGATATGGCACAATTGAATTTCACAGATGAAATATACAGAGATAACGAACTGTATTCATAATCAAAAGAGCATTAAACAATACAAATCGTATGCAAAGTAAACACGGCCCTCCAATATATCAGAGGAGGGATCATGAGTGAGCATCCTCAGTATACCAACGTGTGCTCCTTATCATGATCGGGAAATAGCACAAATATCTGTTGATATTTCAGTTCGTAAAAAATCACCTCACCATTAGTATGAAAAAGATCAGTCAACATTTGACCTAATAATAAGTTGATGTCATACTGTAACTTACAGGATAAAATGTATAAAATATATAAAGAATTGAGAGTAATCTAAGGAGCCATAATCTGGTTTGTTGGGTATGACACTGCATCAACAATATGTAGTTAGAAACGAAGGATAATTTTTCACATTTCCAACTAGCATTGGCATCAATGGTATACCCAAAAACTAGAAAATAGTTCCTTATATATTTATTTAATTGTGAAATGAAATTGTAAATTTAGATTTAAAAATGATGTGTAATAGATTTCAATGACTCACCGCTTTAGGAAATTTACATTCCGTTTGAATAATTGGGAAATTAACTCACCGAACTTGCGAAGAGTAATCACATAGAAAACAAATAGATATCAAAATATTCTGTATTATCTTGACTTTGGATATTATCTTATACAAAAAAAAAAAAAACTTTAGAATCATCAATGATCGTTGGAGACCAATGTTCATGGCCTTCGACAGTTACCCTGACCCACGAATTTTCTTCCCCACGAAGGTATATATAACCATTTGTTTTATTATGTATTTAATTTAGAACTTGTTATCCACGAAAATACGTCTCCACGAACCAGGAAAATTTTGGCTACCCATGAACATTGCCCCCCCCCCCCCCCACCCCACCCACCCCGAATAAAAATTACTCCACTTTACTGTATGTTTTCTTACAACGTAACTAAAAAGAGTCATTTTCACATTTAATTGATTCATCTCAATTTTTTTTTCTATTTTGTAACAGATAATAACATTGTAAAATAACCTTTGTGAAAACATTATATAAGTAATATAAGGTGAGCTAAACATGTTTGCAAAAAGATGTTGATAGATAGGTCTTTTTTTGTTTCTTATTATCAGATTATCTGGTAAAGCTGGATGTGGAAATTCCTGTTTTTTTCCCTGCAATTGCGTAAACTCGTACACCTGCACTGCATTTAATCATTTTAAGAAAAAAAAATTCAATGAATACTTTCACATACTTTTGTATACGTTTACTTCAGATTCGTTCACAGCGAATAAAACTATTTTTATCACACTTTTATCATGTCCGGATTAGAAGGCACCATAGCGAAATAAAGAACATGTAATTTTGCTGTGTGTACAACTAAATATTACAAACATTTTGGCTGAACTTCCTCAGTTATCACGGATTTCAGACCTTTCGCTTCAAGTTCATTGATTCATTGATAGGTAGCACTTATTATCCATAGAAATAATCATGGAGGTTATCTTATAAGTGCAGATAGAAATAACCCCTGAAATAACCAAATGATTTCATATTCCTGAAGAAAATACATTTTTTCCTGTTAGAGAAGTGGAATAAAAAGATAATGATAATATTTTAAATCTATTTCCTTAAAATTAAATATAAATTTTTTTTCCAGGGCATTCAAACTATCGTTAAAACTCCAATTAAAAATATAAATATGGTAAGTAAGATGAATTCATAGAAATATTTTTAAACCTCAGTGCAATGATTGTAATAATTATCGTCGATAAACATAAGCTAATATTTACATTCCCAATGGCTATGTCCGAGATAAATTACCAAATGTAAATGTACTTTATTTCCCCATAAATGTATTGGCGCGGTTCCAAAAAACCACGTGCAGGGCGGGCCAACAGCTAGACAGAAGCAGGGCTTGGAGCATGTGGATTGGCGGAATCAAAGCATGTAAATATAAGGAATAACTGTCAGATTTTTCAATTTCATGAAGATGATCAATCGATTGGCTTGCGTGATAATTTTATGCATAAACGCCTTCGGCGATGTACATAAGCTAGTAACCGTTATTTAAAAAACAAGGAAATAAATGTTTTAATGTGTTAATGTAGAATACAAATTGTTAACATCTCGACGTGAATGTCATACAATTTGTAAGGAATAATCTTATTATATCGTATTGCTTTACTTTTTTATGAAAACATGCCTTACTACGAAAGCCCGTTGAGGCCAGTTCAGAGAAAGAAATATTTGTTATTACGTTTTAAACGCATTGATTATTGCGATTAAACGCAAAGTTTTTCGTTCAAACGCAATGATTATTGCGATTAAACGCAATAAAAATATTTCTTTCTCTGAACAGGTCTCAACGGGCTTCCGTACCTTACAGGAAAATGACTTAAAATGTTGCTCAATTGAATTTACTACTAGTAATCAGTATCAAACTAAATTTAAAAAATGCAAGAATTTATTAGACTTTAAAGAAGAGTGAAAGAAAAAGATAAAAATCCAAGGGAAATCTACAATCAGATAAACCTGTTATCATTTTGTAGACAAAAAATGAAATGAAAACCATTTGTTTGCAAAGTGTTGAAGAAGATGTATTTAAACAGAAACAACCTTTTCTTAGATTAACCTTTAAATTTACAAACAACAACAAATTTAAAAAATATCAGATTACGTGTCATTCCATTAATTTTCATAATATGAATAATTTTTTCGCATTAATCGCAATTGGCATCGTCAGAAAACTTATGAATAATATACCTGTTTCATATTTTGGAGGTCCGTGTTTGCTATGCTCCTATTTTTGTATTGTTTTAGGGACTTTTGATATTGATTACTGTTTGTTATCTCCATATCCTTCTTTCATGAAAAGCAAATTCATTATTAGTTATATTATTAGATAGAAGCTAGCATTCGTTGAAGGATATGGAGGTAACACAGTATATCAATATAAACAGTATATTAATAGCAAAGTCCATAAAACAGTACAAAATAGGAGCAGAACAAGCGCGACCCTCCAGAACATCAGAAGTGGGATCAAGTGTCATGGAAGAGTGGACATTCCCTGCCAACCGGTCACTCCCACTGCGTGCCCCTCGTCAATGTCGGGAAATAATTACAGAAAATCCATCGTCGATTCAGTGTATAAATAATGAACTAACAATTTGTAAGAAGTCAGGATTTGACTCAATTATAAATTGTATTTGCTGACGACAAAGTCTTTGTATCGATCATAGAACTTACGAATTGATGACTATTAATAAGACTACTGAAATTCTTGTTTCATAAACTTGTTTGTCGATAATTTACCTCGTATTAAAAATTGTTCATAGGTAAAGCATGCTCTTGCGAATCGAATCAACTGAGATATTTAAACTCCGTATGCAGGTGATAAATATATATTGCTGCATGTGTAAGGGAAGTTGACCAAAGAAAAGTTAAAGCTATCACATTTATCATAGACTTTGGTTGTTAGATTACCATTGACGTCTTTTTAAGTAAAATACTCCAATATGAAATAAAGGAGTCAGACTCTGGTGTATGTTTCATCTCAAGCTAACCAGGATAATAATATAGCATTTCCACATAAAAATGGAAATTATCATTATTAATTGACAATGTCGAATTGAAGGCCACACCAAATAGCAAGTGTTTTCTTTCTTTCACACATAAGATTTTGCACAAATTATGCTTCTTATGAATACAAAAAGGTCTGGTAAAAATGGAGCGAAATTTTTACCCATGGGAATTCCAATAGATTGTTGGAAGACATGATCTCTAAAAACAACATAGATTTTGTCAATCATAAACTCAAGCATCTTTTTTATGTCAACTTCAGCGTACGTGTATATACAATCAGAATGTTTTTTAACAAAATAATTCTGCAAATGACCAATGAAAAAGTAAGTTAATCACGAGTTCATATTAATAATTGATAAAATCTGAAAACAATTTATAATACATAGTCGATATATCTGATTTAGAGTTAAAGACTAAAGCGTGCTTCATATCTTCACCTTTACGCCTTTGAAATTATTTAGTTATAATTGAGGAATATATATTATCATGTACATGTATAAGTTTATATTACAAATTTTATGCATTACACGTTCATTAAACGTAATGAAAAACTCATAACAAATTCTATAAGAATGTAAAGGAGATAAAATTATATGGTCGTATCAAATAGAACACATAACAGAAGTTATGGTTTATTCATTTCTCCCCTCAGCTTTTCTTTTTGAAGCCTTAACAGTTCAACTTCCTCCTGAAATTTGAGTTTCTGCACTTCCAGAACTTCTATCTCGGTCTCAGTCTTCTTTATCTCCAGCCGCAATGCGTCCTTCTGTAACAACTCCAGGCCTTTCTTCTTACACTGGGTGTATGATGTTGGAGAGCATAGGTCGTCAAGCACCTGTTCACAGCTAGATGTATTTGACGTCAGGTTTTTCTCATTATCGTTTTGCAGATCTAGATTTGTCAGAAACGATACATTAATACCAGTTGCAATCTAAAATTTTTACTTTATACTATAATTTATCTTGTCTCTGCAAGATTGTTGTCATAGTTTCCAGATGTCCTTATTAATTCACTCTCACTTTCGATTTTTCATTCTATATTTTTAAGTTGAACCTACTTATCACGATAAGCCGTGCTGTTGCATTGTCCACGCCAACTTCATTCTTTGCTTCACATCTGTATAGACCTTCGTCTTCCTTCCTCGACTGTTTAATGATCAATTCTCCTGTCTGTTTGTCAACCTCAAACCTCTCTCCTCCTAGCTCATCACTACTTTCATCCTAAAATATCAGAATATGTCACGTTGAACATTTATTTTACAAGCATTTTTTTTTTATCTAATGATTTTTTATGTTTTTTTTTTTTTGTAATGATTAGTACGTTACCAAGAAATTATGCAAAATTATTTTAATGATTGATCATACCAATGGTTCAACAGCAAATTAATCACAATGTGTGGAGTTTTTTTTTTATACAGTAATAACTCATCTAGCGGTAAGAAAACATTCAGTCACACAAATTCACATACATATTGTACACAAGTTAAAAGTATCAGCTGAATTTATTCATGATCTTTCCACTCCTACAAGATTGTCACAAGTTTACTAGTATATGATGACCGGCAAGCGAAAACCACCCTTATGTGCATTATGACGTTATCGAGAAAACGAGCGCTAAAGTTGACGTCATAAATGTTTGCCGAATTGTGCAAATAAATGCAGTGTGAACACACATAATTAATTATAATATTCCTTCATACAGAAAATGCTTAAACTAAACAACATAATGAGTAGTCGTAAGTGTAATTATTTAAGTCCACTGTTTAGTATGAAAAAAAAATGATTTACAGCAAACTGAAGGTGAAAATACCACGATCTTCGCCTTTATAAATTTGAGGGTGTTGCAGAAACTCGCGATTATTCCCTATGTATCGAGTAGGACATTTTAGATACCTCGTTATGTCTAAATATAGATACAGCTACGTAGAGGACTATGTTTACGGCGGGTATTTCCTGCTTGATACAGCAAAACACTTTTGTCATTTTGCACGAAAAATGTCGGAACAACAAAATGCACAATGGCTAAAGCAGCATTTTGAAAGATATACTGTAGACATCGTGCGAAAATATTTTTCATGAAATAAAAACTTAGTCCCATAATCACACTGTTGGTGCTACATCCAAGACATTTCATTTGTTTCAAATCAAATCTTGGCTGCTAACTAAGAGACCAGAATTATTCAAAATCGCAATAACTACAGTATGTAAAATATAAATTATCTAAACAATACAGTAACTTTATTTTTCAAAATAAAACTAAATAAAGCATTAGTTTTAAGTCACAGCATATCATTCAAGGAAAACAATTTAATCCTGCATTTCTAATATATAGTTATTACTCAATTAACTTCTTGACATTCTCTCTCTCTTTCAAAATAGACATATTTTCATTGCACTACCATAATGAAAAAAAATATGCAAAAATGATCCATTCCAGGATTCGAACCCATTCTCTGGTAAAAAGTACTGGTGGAAACCCACCTACATATCCACTAGACCACTTCGGACACGATGTTTTGCGGTGTTATTTAATGTACACATTTTGCATTTCGTTTGGAGAATAATTTTTTTTTCAATTTTTGCTTTTTTTAAAAATGTGCCTCTTTGAAACAAAAATCGGAAATGGCAGTTTTGAAGAAAATTCCTGCCCCTTTGTGTATATACCAAAATTATTCTGTTTCAAGGAGGCACTTTTTCAGAACAATAGGGATTCCCTATTTAAAAAACGGAAAATCTTATACATTTTGCCGTGAGACTGCTTTTCACATCATTTAATGGCAAACTGGAAGTCAATATGCAGCTTTAAAATATTGTTTCTCGTTGTGCTTTGTATATTGTTGCATTTGAAAAAAATTAATATGAGTTTCTCCAACAAAAAAATTCTTCTTTTAATCTGCTACACATTTAGGGAAAATAACAAAAGAACTGCAACACCCTCTTTTCATTTTCGAAGAAAATTTTCTTTTTACTTCTAAAATACAAATATGGGGGAGAAATGGCATTTTATCTTTAGACCAGGGCAGCAACAAAATGGACATAGATCTACACGTATTCAACATTATTTTGTCACTATTTATTTATATTTTTCTATGTTTATGATATAAAGCATAGAAAACTAAGTGTAAAGCTAAGGCGTTGGATTTCATACAAAGGTGTGTAAGTTTATTGCAAACTAAATATGTACCAAAAATCAAAAACAAGCTTGAAGAAATGGGGAGGCGGGTCACAGAAATATAATTTATCAGTATATAATTGAAGTTGGAAAACAAAGCCCTCAGTAAAATTTGGCCGGAAAAATATACTTGACTATGACAAATGAAAAAGTTCGTTCTGTTTTGCTTTCTTATTCTTTGTCCGGAACCCAACCCCCCTAAAAAAAATAAAAAAAAAGAAATCACTTCCTATGTGTCTAAAATAATCTACATGTGTTAACATGTCAACATGTACAGATACTGCTAACGAAGGGAAGTAACCTGCATTATACTTATTTATTGTTACCTGGCAACAGGAAGCGTTGAGTATTCACCACTTCCTCCAAAGATTTTTCGGTATCTGCGTGTATCTTATTTGCATGTTTAGAGGGGAAAGAAGGAACTGTTAATTATTCATTCTATACAATATTTGCTAAAATGAGTTAAAAAACAAACTGATATTTTTTGTTTAATTTTTTAAATATGTTGGAATAATAATGCAACATTATGAATCCTTCGATCAGTTAATCAAAGACAAATGCAGCCTACATGTTTTAGGAAAAGATGAGAAATTATCATGAAAATAAAATCATTTAATCTGTAAATTATGTTGTATCCTAGTACTACATGGTTTGGGGTGGGTATAAGCAACTACTTATACTTTGATTGGGTTATAGAAATTATATTAATTAAATTGATTCAAATAAAACTTGAAACTGATGAAATATTTAGCATGAGCCTAATACATGTAAGCTAAAATTTCAATGTGTCATTTAATCAACCAATCAAACCACAATTACACAACTGTACAATGATCTAGCATCGTTTTTGAAAGGGGACAGCCAGAGAAAAAAAAATTAACTTACCTGAAAAAAGTTGACAAGCAAAATGTCCAAACTCGAAAATCCTATTTCAGGGGGGGGGGGGGGATAAGCCACAGGAAGTAAACATGCAGTGGGATTAACATCATATTCAAGGTTATTTTTACAACCCGTTGCACCCCTCTCAACAAAATTACAACAGGTGCATTATGCACGGAACTGTTCTTATGAGCTTTTGACTCCGCTCCACGTGCATGTATCTGTATGACAAGTTGACCTGCAATATTTTCGGAGTTCATACTTGGCCATGTATGGTATACATTACTTGGTACATGTACATACTGTTAGTATAATGCTCTCTCCCCTTCTCTCTCAAAAAAGGAATTGTTTCAATGATTTTTGCACGAATGTGTCTCACGTCACTCTCAAATCTCGATCCGCATTTATTATGTCCAGAATTTATGTGCGATGATCGTACATTTTGGTCATTGTTTTCGAAGGTGTATTTCAGGGAAACTTTTAGATTCTATAGGCCAAATCAGGTGTTATTTAAAAGTGTACATGGGACAATGCTTCATGTATCATTTCTTTTCAATATAAAAACAAATGCCACGCCAGGTGCACGAAACGCGTGCTTAAAAGAGAAATCAGCCATTACCCCTCCCTCTAAATCTTACGTTTTAAAAACTTTACCCTGTGCGGAATTTTCATCCTGATAAATATTTTTTTTATTAAAAAAAATATGGACCTTAGCCACACTGCAAATTACGAATTCGCTCCTGGTAATACATTTTCATATGAATAGCTGAAACGAATACGCATGTAGCTAATGTTTTAATTGTCTTAATTTTAGAAAAATTGTTGTCTAGGCCTACAATTATAAGCAGGAAACATTTTTCAAATAATTAATTCTTTACCTAAACGAGACATTTATTCATCATGGAGACTAGCTTTCCACCACGAGGCGCGACAAATTCGCATTTTCTGAACATAAGAAAGGGGTTGGGGTGGGGTGTCCTTCCAATTACTGGAAGTTCAGTGCGAAAATTTAAAGTTTCAGTGGGTATAAATTATATTGCAGCAATGTGTATTATATATGCATCTTTAATGCAGTGTCAGAGATGACAATTACTTTGATAAAGCTCTTCAGGCCATTTGAGTGAGATTAATAAGACCGGGGAACATTAACTGGAAAAATTGGAAATATACATGGGCGGGTACAATTCGACGCGGACGTTTTTTCAAACATGGGATTGAAATTGCAGATCGAAACTCAGTTTCAATCCACCTGAGCTATTTCAAAGCAAAGAGTGAATGTATATGATCCAAAAATCAACTATATTTCAACTCCCAAATACATATTGTTTGAAGTTCACATTAATAGCGAGCGCAGCGAGGCGGCGCGAAGCGCCGCTCGCATAGCGAGCTCTTAAAGCAACGCCTGTGCGAAGAGAAAATTCGGACTACTGCACATTCATTCGTTAGAATTTTTTGATGCCGTAATTTCGACCCACAATGCATCACTTGTTTTTAGCTACGTTCTCGCGAGAATCACGCCAAATGTTCAACAAAAAGTTTACTCGCCTTGATTTAATGGATATATATTGAAGATAAATAAAAAACAAAACGTTCTTCATTAACTTTCAGCACTGTTCAGGCTTTTTCTCGGCATATTGCGACTTACATACGTCATGTGACGTCAGAGTCTAGACGCACCAATACTCACGGGCGGTTTGACGAGCCGGATCTAAATCAAAACAATATAAGAGTTTGCGCTTGCTCTAACGGTCGCACCGTCAACATAATATGAGTTTTAGCTTATAATTTTAAGAACGCTAAATATTATACAAGACAAATATTATTTTTCAGGAGATATTTGATTCTAGAATGGGGGGGGGGGTAAAAAATTGTCGTGTCAGGTCATGACTTAACAGGCATATATTTTATTTCTAGGATTATATGAGTGCATGAGTTTTATACTTATGCTCACTGAAAACTGTTGGACAACTTTATTTAAAAATCGTTCAAACACCCCCCCCCCTCCCCCCAACACAAAGATAAACATATATTTACCAAATAGAAATGAAATATTTTCCCTTAAATATTTTTTTTCATTTAAAGCACTGGACAAAAAAAAAAAATTCAAACTGTACCAAAATTGAAATCATTTGTCTTCTGGGTCAATCAGTAATAATGTGCCTACTAGCGTAGCTGAGGTGGATTGAAAATGAATTTCGATCTGCAATTTCAATCCCATGTTTTCCAAACGCCCGCGTCGAATTGTACCCGCCCATTTCGTTGTCTATCACTGAATGTTTTGATTGTAACAGATAGAAAATGACGTAAGCTGTATATTTTCCAATTTTGCCAGATAATGTTCCGCGGTCTTAGAAAGATGCAATCGAATCTGTTCCTCAAACTGCTCCAAAGAAGAATAAATTCATTTGGAAAAAGAAAACCACATCGACAGAAAGTATTTTCGACGAATGTCTTGATTTAATTTATGTGTGAAATAATATACTTTCTCTCTCGTCGCGGGTTCGAATCCCACCTCGGGACATGGAGACCGGTCCCTCGGATGAGACCGTATAAACCAAGTTCTCGTGTCGCAGTAGGCGCTGGCACGAAAAAGATCCCTACCTGCTCAATGACCATCTGGATAGAGTATAATACAAATTTTTTCTCCACCGGAAAGCAGTGGTGTCTCCATATGAGTGAAACATTCTCGAGAGGTACATTAAACAGTACAATCAATCTCTTTCTCTGGAAAATGATAGGGCCGTTTGTTATCAGAATGAAGCTTATTAGCAGACAAAATTTCTGTATTCCGAATTTATTCAAATTCATATACGTGAGACACAGGGAAGTTTTTCAGTGGCCTTATAAATTTTGATATCAACAGCGTTCATGTACTATCAATTCGCAACAGTTACTTTCATTCATATCGACTCGACTTACCATGATCATGAAATTGTTCAAATTGTTCAATAATAAAATGACGAAAAAAAAAACCACTTCTGAAACAAAAGAGCATTCAAACTATGAATCTGGTCTGAACTGTGTACATGTATTTCTTTCTTTTTTTTAGGGGGGGGGGGTGGCATAAAAGTATTAGTTTAGAGAATTTACGAGCATAGACCATATAAATAATAAACCTCCTCCCCTAAAAAGGAAAATAAACTGACGAAAATGATTGTAAAAAAAAAAAAGAATCAAAACATCTGGTGTCTCTCTTTTAAGGGGGGCGGGGATAAAAACCTGATATTTCTTTTAAAATGCTAAAATCATCGATCATTAAAAGTGACAATAACAATGTAATTAAATAAAAATTACTTATGTTATGCCATTTATTGTCCGAAGTGATTTTTCTTGTACAGTTTTTACAATAAAACTATGGAAATATGAGAACAAAAAAAATTGACGTTGTCCGATAAAACACGGCGACATGACGAAGAATTTGTATTTTTTATTTGAAAATTTCACTAATTTTTAGTCTTTGAACAACTACATGTTATATATCATTTGAAAGAGGAGAAAATTGTCCATCAGGATCACTAAACCACTCAAAATGTCAAAATTTTCCCTTCAGTGTGGTTTTTGCTTGACGGTCATCATATACTTAAAGATATACATAAATATCCCCACATACTTGATGAATGTGAGTTCATGGTCAATGTAGATTTTCAAAGAGTTATTGAATTTTAATGTTCATACCAACTAGGTTAAGGTACTCATGACAAACTGCTGGGATTTACAGTTTTTTTTGTCTTTTTGTCAATGAGGAATATGAACAAATAATCACCTTAAACCAATGGTACTTTGGAGACGGCCTTCCTGTAGCTTTGCACACGAAGCGGTAGTCATTTCCTTCCACGACCTGTCCAGCACTTGGGAAGTTATTATTTTTGGACGACCTATAAAAATTGATAGATTTTTTTTTAAAACAATTGACAGAAATCATACTTTATTCAGAATTTCAGTTAGTTTTTTGTTTTCTTAAAGCGATTGTGTCAAAATTAATTCTACTCTGAAAGGCAATTTTTAATACTTAACATAGACCATCGTAGTAAGAATCGAGTGACTTGTCTCATTAATATATATAAAGATATTGATAGCCTTTATGGTGTATTTCAACCTGGACCCAAGGATTCATTGATTTTTTGTAAACTCTTTGTTTCCGAAATATGAATTAGTCGGAATAAAGTACATTCTGGGTATAACACGATCCCAGTGACTATGAAATTACGGAGATAACGAACGGTGTCCATAAAACAATACAAAGTAGGAGAAGAGCAAACACGGACCTCCAAAACATCGGAGGTGGGTTCAGGTGTCATGGAGAAGTGAGCATCCCCTGTCGACCGGGCACATCCACCGTGCGCTTTTTGTCATGATTGAGAAATAACGGTAAAGTCTTCGTCAATTTAGTGTGAAAATAATAGATTAACAATTAGTATGAAATCAGCAGTCTTGCTGATATTCTTTTTTCATTAACTTGTTTGTCAATAATTTACCTCGTTTTAGAAATTGTACATAGGTAGATCTTATGCACTTGAGTATCGAATCAACTGAGATATATAAACTCTTACATATAAACTATATATACTGTAGTCATCACGGTTATCATAGAAGTATTTTTCTAGATTACCATTAACGTCTCGTAAAATATTTAAATAAAAACAGATGTATCAAACTCTATGGTCTTAAAATTACGGCATCCTAATGTAAATAAGGTTGTTGAAATCCCTATGAAATCAACTTATGTGTGAGTGTCCTGCCTCGATCGGTATGTTTCAGTTATAAAGACTAAGAATTTATTTTTTTCTTTTTCTTGATATTTTTAGAAAAATGTATAGTTTCTTTCATATAATTGTAAAATTGACTTATCAATTACATTATGTACAGTAACTAGAATCATGGGTGAATAGCTCATGGTAAGGACTTCTCTTATAGTACAAATTTCTTACAAAATTAATTCTCTCCAAAATTTAACACTGTTTAAATCATAATTGCTTACTACAACTGTGTTTTTGTTTATATTGTAAATATAATGGGGCAGACAAGAGGGTTTTCATTGAAATGATAGTATTCCGCATGTTATCCATGCGATTAATAAAGCTCCATTCATACACATATATACATGTACCCCTCACCTGGAAGACATATATGTCGCAATTTTAGAAGAGGTATACTTAATGGGCATTCATATAGTGTGTTAGATAAAAATTCATGACTAGAGAAGAACTTCAAAGAAATAATGCATTTTCAGTGGTTTGAGCGTCTGCTCTAGAGTCGCGAAGTAAGGAGTCAATCCTTACGTCGCGGGTTCGTATCCCACTGCGGGACGTGGAGACCGGTCCTTCGGATGAGACCGTATAAACCGAGGCCCCGTGTCGCAGTAGGTGCTGGCACGAAAAAGATCCCTCACTGCTCAAAAGCCCTGAGTGCCGAGCATAGGACAAAATTTGCAGCCCTTCATCGGCCAGTGGTGGCGTCTCCATATGAGTGAAAAATTTTCGAGAGGGACGTTAAACAACATACAATCAATTAATCAATCAATCAAAGCATATGAAGTCCGACCCTGACACAAATACCCTTCACCAGGGGTTATCATTTTAATAATCTGGATGAGGCACCTTAGCTGTTCATTGCTATGCATTCAACTTTTCTGCTTAATATTACTGAATAATGGGACAGAATAAGTTTCTTAAAGAAATAATGAATCTTAACTGTATGTTCAATTGAACCCCCACCCCAACTATAAATTAAATCTAATAAGTCTGGGAAATGTATGTTACAATACTGTAGAAGGTTTAGTGACAACGGTTTGACAGCTTGAAGGTAGTCACGACTAATGAAATTTTGTACAGATTGTATTTATTTTGATAGTTTTAGCCCTAAATGCACAAATTGGTTGATATTAAGTCAGCAGTTCCAGAGAAGATGCTAAAATTCTATAACGTCGAAGGAAAACAAATGACACTGGCCTTGTGCATGATTTATGAAATGAGTTACTTGGCATGTATTGTCCACTCCTCCATGGCACCTGATCACACCTCTGATGTTTTGGAGGTCCGTGTTTGCTCTGCTCCTGTTTTGTATTGTTTTATGGTGTTTGGATCTTGAATGCTGTTTTATGGTGTTTGGATCTTGAATGCTGTTTTATGGAGTTTGGATCTTGAATGCTGTTTGTTATCTCCATATATTTTATTTCAGTAATGTCTGGAACAAAATGCGTGTTTATTGTATTTCTTTTGCTTTCAACATTGAAAACGCTAATGTTAGGCGAAAAAATTGTACAGATTGAATTTACTCTTAAGTAGGTTTAGTCCTAGTTTTCAGAAATATAGATCGAAGAAATTCACAGTTTTTGTTTCACTTCATCCATATACATTAAATCCACGAATTGGTTGATATTAAATCGGTGGTTTCCTGAGAAGTTAAAATGCTGAAAGGCGAATGAACGGCGAGTTGAACTGGTCTTGTACATGTACATGAGTGATCAAATGTCAATCTTGGTTTTTTTTTCTCTCCGATCTTCTTTTCCCCACCTATACCTACCAAGCACTGTAACTTTTATATTAATGAACCTAATACGGCCGGATCCAGACACCACGCAAACAAATGTTCCCTCATCCAAACTGCGGTTTACAGTCCTGACTTCAAGACCCTCTGCCACTTGTGAATACCTTGGATGTCCTAAGATTTTGAAATAACATTATAAAGTCTTTCTAAATAAAATTTCTGTAATTTGATTTTATTTGAATTTGCTGATGCTAAGAAATCAATTTGTCATCTTTGTGTTGTAGATACAAAACATGATTAAAACGAATTAAATGGATTTTTATTTTATGTAAATGTGTAAAATTTATAACATATTAAAATAAAATATAAGACAAAACCGTCATACACACAATTGACAAATACTGTACCAATGAAATTTCATCAAATCAATGTCATGCATCTTTCAATTTAGAGAGAAACACAGGAAAAAATTTATGTACATCATTCCATTGTTTTCCAAATGTATTATTTGTATCTCTGAAGAAAAAAAATTGTCTATTTATATAGTTACCTTGACTAATAGATCTGCCATTCTTTGTCAAATAAATTCCATATCCCTTAGGCGCAGTGCACTTAATCAAACCTGGAGTATTCTCTATTAGTTCCTGTGAGCTAGGGGCCATTTCTTCTGTAATTTCTAGGGGCATATTGACATTGACTAAAACTTTGGCGCTCTTAGATTTTCCATTTATTGTTCCATTACAAATATAATCTCCAGAATCCTGTTCTAAAACACTTTTGATAATCACTGACAGAGATTTTCTTGCGAAAGTTACAGCATATACCCTGTAAATATTAACAAAATAAAGGTGTTATATTCTAAACATTCACAATTTTGAATAATAGATTAATCACCCAAGTTCACTAATAAGCAGCATTTGTTGTTCCCGTTGTTTTTGCGAGTATACCAACAAAAACCTATTGGGATTAATATTGCAGTAGAAAGTCTTCACCACAAGTGTTGTAAAAAATACACAGTCCTTTTCCGCAATGTTTATTTATCCTGCAAATTCAGAGTCAATATATGGAAATTTAAATGTTCGTTACTGTCGCCGTTGCGGAAATCATAACAATACATCTATAACTTATGAAAATAGGGGCATATACTTTGTTTATCATTGTCAAAAATGTTTCATAAGATATTTAATATATTGAAATTGTGAACAATACGTGGCCGTGAGTGACCATATTTAATATATTGATAGTAGAAGATGTGTCGTCGGTTTGAAAAGAATTGAAAAATGTCCGTTACGGTGGATTGGAAATGCAGGTGCATCATCTAATGAGAATGGTTTTACATTTTTCTTGTGTGTCAAATAAACCTAAAACTATCCTACATGTGTACAGAGTTAAACATTTTTTGCATAAATTACAGGCTTTTCTAGCAGTATTAAGCTTAATACTACATATAATCGTTAATTGGATTAAACTCAAATGTTCGTTACTATAATTTCTGACACCTTCCAATCTATTGATTGTGCATTTGTTGACGTTCTAAGTTATGAACTTCAAACTAAACAAGAATTAAAAAATAAAAAAAGGAAACAGTCTGAATAATAGAAACATACAGCAAAAATCTAATATGTTAAAAATGTTCGTTATTAAAATGTTCGTTACGTCAGTTGCAAGAAGTGTTACAAAACCGTGTAAATTCTGTCGGGTTCAATATGCTACGTTTTCGTCTATGAAGCACATGATCTCTAAAGTATCTAAGGGCGCCATTTTTCAATTTTAAAAGCTGTATATACTGTGTGGTACATTTTTGAAAGTTGTATGAAGTGAGTATTCTTTTATTGCTATGAATTATAGTATCACAAACTAAATTATACCACTTTAGGTGTTGAAAATGTGCAGGTTCTATTTGAATGGAAATTTTCAAAGAAAATAATAAACCATGTATGATCCATGACCCCTGCACTATTAATCAGGTAGAAATGTTCGTTACTTTTGGTAACGAACATTTTACTACGTTTGAACACTAATAGAATTTGAAATACATACAAAATATGCCTGTTTTTAATGTAATCCCTTTTCCCTTTATGTGCTTACATCTTAACTTATGTTGCATATTCAGTGCAATGGATATAATTTAAAATCGATCAATTTGAAATAATCGTAGATTTTTATTTTCATTTTTTTCAAAATTAACCACGATACATTTTGAGCAAAGACCCATTATGGCTCCTTTTTTTTCTTTCAATGTATGCGACGTAATGTAATTGTTTTCAATATATTAGTTGATTCTGTGAAAATCTTATCAAACTTTTGCATAGCACTGAAACTATGCAGTAACGAACATTTAATTTCTCGATAACGAACATTTTCTCCATTACGGATTTCTATTATGGGCAAATGTAAAGCTGAAATTCAGAAAGCCTACCGCGAGCTGAAACAGAAGGATAACGAAGGGTATCTTGCAAAGAAGAGAGCTATAGAAGGTGTGCTTGTTATGTTCCAAGTGCACAGCTTAGCAGAAACAAACTTTAAGGAAAGAAACGAAAACAAAAACAGAGAGACTTTCTGACTTTGGCGTTTCTATAAGAAAAAGAGGCGTGAAAGAGAAATAGATGGTGAGGAAAACACTTATCAAGACACAAGAGGATATGAAACAGCAGAATCTGAGCTGTTTAGTTACAGGTGTAGTTCCTATTTCCAAATAGAAAAAAAGGTCCACAAAAGCGTTGGAAAGAAGAATTAATCAAAGCAAGAGAAAGGATAAGAGAGCTGGAAAAGCAAAACAAAGAAAAAAAAAGAGGAAGAACAAGTAATTACAAAGAAGATTCCAAAAATTCAGACACAAGATTTTTAGTTCATGGAATCTGACACTCAGGAAAGAAGTTCAGAATCTAATGAAAGCTGCAAAATTAAATGAGAAACAGAAGAATGCAGTTATGCTCAATGTAAAGAAAGCTCCTTCACTCACATCGGTAATAGCAGAAGAGATCAATGCAACTGAAGAAATGTTAGGAGAACTGAGATGAAGGTGGTGTACGGTAAAATTGTCAAAAAATATAGATGCCAAGCATATTTGGCAGCAAAGGCTGGTCAGGACAGAAACTGCATGTCTAAAGTAAAAGCAAAATCTTTGTCCACAGCTCGCTTTGCATGTCGCAACATAAAGAGATAAAGAAAATGTTTGAGAGAAAAGTAACAGAATTCATGGAGAGGGAAGACAATAGCAGATCTTACCCGGGCAAGAACGATGTGAAGAAAACAGATAATGGAGAGACCACAAACACATTGCATATTGAAATGTCCGTTACCATTTGTGTTCAATTTTCATGATATGGCGTTTGATTTGTTGTTAAAAGATCAAGGCTGCCTAATTAGTTATAAATCTATCGTTCTTTATGTCTTTCAACCGCACAATCATGTGAAAAAGCAGAAATTTTGAGGGAAATAAAATGTTCGTTACAATGAAATGGCCGTAACTTACGTTCTCTTTGTGAATTTATATTTACCCCTTTGAATCCTTGTACCTAATTTTTGTATATATATAATATAAAGTCTACACAGGTAACTTTAAAAGGTCAAAACTATGAGTATGTCTTACAAAAACAACTGTTTTTCCAAAATCATTACGAAGTACTCTGCATGTAATTGAATATTAGAATGAGTCTTTAAATGATACATGCAGCCCACAAATATTACATATTTACGAATCATGAGTTTGAATATAAAAGCAGAACAATTTCTGAATAATATTAAAAGCTGATGGATACCTAAAATTCTTCAAAGTAAACAACAGATTTGAACTCGCTTACGAAATGTTCGTTACAATTCGACACTTAACATCAAAAAGGAAAACTTGTGTTGATATTATCGACATAACTCAAAAAATTACATCAAAGTGATAAGAAAAACTCAAATAGTAGAAATAAATTACTTCAAATAAAATTCAACCCGTACGATTTAGCTTCAGAAATTTCAAAACTATGCATCTCCAAAATTTATAATTATGAAAATCGTTTGTTAAATTGTTCACATAAATGTTCCTGCTGTCATTTTCAACATTGTCTGGATGTCTTGAAATAAGTGTTGGGGGAGCTACATGTACTGTGTTATGATGTATTTTGCAAACGAAAGGCTTTCTATTGTGAGTGATTTTGTACAGATATGCTGTTGCAAATAGGCTAATCGAATGTAACGTACATTTTTAAGCTAATTTTCATTTGTTCAGGACTGCATATGTTCGAGGGAATATCTTTTAAACCCTTTATTTCATGTACAAGAAAATCTAGATCAAGATTCTATACATTGTAAGGCTTACCAGAAAGTCATCAAAATCAAATTTCAAGGCATTTATTTTTTCGCTATCTCTACATGGCAAATGCTGCTTATTAGTGAACTTGGGTGAATACACTTTTTGTCAAATCAGCATTCTTAAAGTTAAGATACATTTCTTTTAATTAAAGCTAAAATCAAAAGTTAAACTAAACTGACAAAATCCTTAATTTGTTTTTTAACTTTATTCATAAAACTGTACTTGTGATAAGAGTCTATTGATGTTTTTGAGAACAAAAATTTAGCTCTATGGTCAGTCATAAAACTGAAGGCACAGGAAACTGTTTGTTTATTGTTTATTGTTTATCGTTCCTCTCGAGAATTCTTCACTCAAAATAAGACACCAACACCTGCCAGTGTAGGGCTGAAAATTTATAACTATATACTGCGCACCGAGTATTTAGGGCCATTAAGCGGTGAGGGA